AGAACGACATGTTCTTCCTCGAATAGATGGTGAGATACAATGCGTTTGGTATCACGATTTGGGAAGGGACTCTCGATGTTTGGTGATTTTGCTAGAGGTAGGAACAACTCCTGATGGTGTTCCAAATATTCTATTCAAAGGAAGTTACGAAGGCCTCAACAATGATCAAATAACTGGGTGGTCTTCCTGCCTTGGTATGGGACACTACCGATGGTTGAGAGGCCCTATCAATCATCTTCGAAGAGAATAGAGATTAGAATATGTGGCAAATACAATTCGTCGCATCATAGATTTCCTCAACATATGATGACCGCTCTTCGTAGAACTCGTCCCTAGAAGCGGGGGTAATGTCACGGCCATAATCATGTAAGCTAATAATTACATATAGAAATAGATAGAAGTAAGTAAAAGTAGATAAAAATAAGTTAATTCTATAATATTTAATATGGAAGCTTCCTAGAAACTTTCTAGACGTTGCTTTGACTTCATAGGTGTCTTTAATTGACTTTTTGGATTAAAAACGTGGTCAATAAGTTAGCCATGTGCCACACATGTTGTTAGTTTGAAGATCAAGCTAACTATGTGGCCCACACGTAGAAAAACTTGCCTTGTAAGTCAAGGCATGTGTCCTACAAAGTCAACACATATTGGAGGTCCTATAGAACGTCGCCACGTAGCCCCTAGTTAGATAGTATATATATAGAGACAAGAGTGAAGGCTTCTTCACTCTTGTCAACTTCTTTCTTGCTTCTAGTCTAGTTTCAAGGGTCTCTAGTTTTCTTGTCTTTTGGCAATAGCCATTCCAGTTTCTCTTTCAATATATATACTTGTTTATTTATATTTTGTTACCTCTCTTTGAGTGAAGGCTCACTTGTCTGAATTATTTTTCATCGAGTTCTTGTCCTTGATAACTTGTCAACTACAAAAATAACAAGGTTTATTTGATGCCCTTTCTAGACATTCTTATCTTACACAAAAAGAAAGAAATGCAGCTTTTAATTAACAAAGAATAATTTTATTGAAGCCAGAACAATATTATCTTCAAGAAGTGAAAACAACATTGATTGTTGACTCAATTTTTTTTAAGAAAATTCAATCAAGTATGTCCTCTAATCTTCTTCTTTATAATATCAGGAATGTTTCTTTTAAGTCTCGTGAGACTTCCAAGTTTGAGTTGAAAGACAACTTACTTTATTTTGAAGGGCACTTATATGTTCCAAAAGAAGAAGCATATTTATATATTCTTCAAGCATGTCATGACTCTCTAGCAGTAGGATATTTTGAATACAACAAGACTTTGGGACTAATATCTAAAGATTTTTGGTGGCCACAAATGTGTAAGACTATAAAAGACTTTGTTTAATCATGTGATATTTATTCAAGGTCAAAAATTCCTCATCATCTATTTTATAGACTTCTTTAGCCATTACTTATTCCAAAACAACCATGGTTTTTTGTTTCTATGGATTTTATTATAGAACTTTCAATCTCAGATTTATGTGATTTTATATTTGTGATAGTAAATTATTTTACTAAAATGGCACATTTTATACCATGCACAAAATCTATCATAGGTGAAGAAACTACTAAGCTTTTTGTTGACAATATCTATCAAATAGATTGCCAAAAGATATTATATCAAATAAAAGAATTTAATTTATATTAATATTTTAGAGAATCCCTTTTAAGATTCTAAAGGTGAACATAAAGCTTTTTTTTGGCCTTTTATCTTCAAATTGATGGACAAAAAAAGTACGTAAATCAAGTTTTGAAGCAATACTTAAGGTGTACCATGAATTATTAAGAAGACAATTGAAGAATCTTTTTTTTATTGACAAAATTTTCTTATAATAATATGATGCATTTTTCTTTACAACAAATTTTTTTTTTTGCCAATTATGGTTACCATTTACAACTTCATACTTTTAAATTTTTAAAAGTTCATAATCTTGCCACAAAAGATTTGGCAAATTATTTATTATAGCTGCATGCAATAATGAAGGTGTAATTAAAAGAAGCTCAAGAACGACAAAAGATTGATGTGAATGCCTATGAAAAGGAGCAATCATAATTTAATGTAAGTGACATGATATAATTACTTCATCATAATATCAAGACTACTCATCTTTGTGATAAGTTGGATTGATGCAAGCTTAAATCTTTTCTTGTTTGTAGACAAATCAATCTAATTGCTTGTCGATTACATCTACTAGAGTCAATGAAGATCTATCTTGTATTCCACGTATCTCTTCTTCAACCAAATAAGATTGTGAACATAGTAAGAAAAAAATAAGTCCCTCTTCTTCCTATAGAAATGGACAATAATAAAGAGTTTAAAGTAGAAGAAGTTTTAGACTCAAAGAAGCATCAAAATAAATTGAAATATCTTATCCATTGGCAAAGATATGATATTAGTGAATGTACATAAGAGTCAACAAAAAAATCTTACAAATATAGTAAAGAAGGTCAAAGCTTTTTATCATTGACATCCATTAAAATCAAGATGAAAGATAGCAAACTTTTATTATAAAAGAAACATAATTCAAAAAAAATTACATTCTATCTTCTATCCTTATTTATAATTTTTGTATAATTATGGCATTAAGGAGATGGAAAACCAATAGCTAGCGAATTCAACTAAAGAACTATTATTTGTTGACTTACGAGATGAGATATTGTGATTATCACAACTTTTAAGATGATATAATAGAAATAAAGATCTTCAAGAATGACATATTCATCTTTAAATAGATGGCAAGATACAATGCGTTTAGTATCACAACATGGAAAAAGACTTTTGATGTTTGATAATTTTATTGGATGTAAGTACAACTCTTGATGGTGTTATAAATATTTTATTTGAAGGAAGTTACAAAGGTTTCAACAATGATCAAATCACTAGGTAGTCTTCTCACCATGAAATGAGACATTACCAATGGTTGAGAGGATGTATCAACTACTTTCAAAGAGAACAAAGTTCAAAGTACATAGCAAATACAATTTGCCACATCTTAGACTTCTTCAACATATAATCAATACTCTTTGTAGAACTTGTTTCTAAAAAAGAGAATAATGTCATGGATATATATCTATTATAATTATTATTTAGATAATATAAATAGATAGAATTAAATAAAAATAGATTAATTTCATAATACCTTCTAGAAAAGCTTTCTAAAAGCTTTGTAGGTGATTTTTTGACTTTACATATATTTGTAGCTAATTGATAGGTTAAAAACTTAATTAACAAGCTAACCATATACCCCATGTATCGATAGCTTGTAGAACAAGCTAATTATATGTACTCATATAAAAAACTTGCCTTGCAAATCAAAATACATATCATAAAAAATCAACACATTTTTGGAAGTTCTATAGAATGTTACTATATAGATCTTAAGTAGATAATATATATAGAAACAAGAGTGAAGTCTTCTTCACTCTTATTAATTTCTTTCTTACTTCTAGTCTAGATTTAAGAATCTCTAATTTCCTTGGCTTTTAGAAATAGTCATTTTAGTTTCTTTTTAATATACATACTTCTTTATTTTTATTTTGTCACTTTTCTTTTGATACAAATTTCTCAGGTTTATGCATTTTCTTTCAGTTCATGTCTTTGATACCTTAGAGACATGAGCCATGAAATCATCTCCTTCTTCCATCTTTACCATCAAAAACTTCGTGTTTGTTCATAGAATATTGATAAGGTTTCTACTCTCATAGATGTTGCAAAGAGTCTTTCATGCTTTTGCTAGTTTATAGCTAGCAATTATATCTGAAAAATTGGCATCATCCAAATTTGATGCAATCATGCCAAAAGCCTTCTTTTCACAATATTTACACTCATTCTTTACCTTGATATCATCATCGTTACTTGGAGGCTTTTCACTTTCATCCACAATATTCCAAAGGTGTTATGTAGCTAACAAAAGTTCTATTTTCTTCTTTCAATGGTAGAAGTTGTCACCTCTAAACTTTTCAATCACTCTTAAAACTTCACCCTCTCTTGAAGCCATGTTTAAAAAAGATATATATTAAAAAAAATCAAGAGAGAGAAAAAAAAAAAAAAAAAAAAAAAAAAAAACTCTAAAAATCAACAAGAAGATATTTTTACCTTAAAAATCTAGAATGTCCTTTTTGTGAATGAATTTGTAATATCACTCTTAAATCACTTTTAACTTTATTTATAGGACTTCTTACAAGTCTTATATTCTATCTAAATTTCTTATATAAGCTTTGCCACTCTTCAATCATCGCTCTTCTTTCATAAAATACTTCTAAACTTATAAAATACTTCTTATCACTATAAGAGGATCTCAAGAGAAGTTTACCACATAAAATTACAATGTTAGATCACAAATAATGTAAATCAGCAAAGAAGCACAACACTAATATTTTAAAACATCATCCTAAGGTACGTAACAACCTCCAAAACTATCAATGCATTTAACAATAAGTAAGAGCAAAATTACATCAACAACTAGATGCAATAATGGAATTAGATGATATCAACTCCTAACATTAGCAACAACCAAAAGATCTACTCCTTACAACAAGACTTCAAAGAACTTCAAATTCACAACTAAAGATGAGTGGACACATAACTTATTGAAAAATAAGCATTATGAAGTCACAACACTTAACATCAGTAATGTTGTTTACGAAGAAAATATGGAGTAAGATATCTCTTACTTCCAACATCCATTACTTATAAGTGGTGGTTGCTACTCTACTAGACAACTTTCATCCTTTGATGAATATATCCATCCAACATTCTACTAAAACTATTTGTTGTTATCTTATCTACTATGAAAATATACCTTTAGTATACTCTTTATATGCTTGAGATCCTTGGTCCATTCATCTACTTTTTTTCTTGGCCTTCTTACATACCAAGAGCCAACCCTTTAACTAATAGCAACTTACCGAAAATAATATCCTCTACAATGTTATTTATTCTACTTTCACATTTACTTCTTTACTTTAACAAGTATTACATTGTTCACAACTCTACTCGGGTACCCAACCTCCAAAGAAACCAGAATCAAAGAACAATACAAAACCACCGAGCAAAAAGGTCCAAATATAGCAAAACAACAGAAGTGTACAAATATTGGATACGTGGATTTGTTTATCAGTTTATTGTGTTTTACTTCGTTCTTTTCTGCTTTTATTTTGTTTTGTTGTCTCTTTTCCGATGCTATTGTTTCGGGTATTAACTCCGAAGTTTTGTTCGCACGCTTTTCCAAAATGGTTACTACAGAGACCCTCAATCATCTGCTTCGTCAGCACTTTCATTCACTTCTCCTCGGGGCTTAACATTCCACATGTGTGCGTTGTTCATTGCAGGGCATGGCAATAAAACCATACCACTAGGTGGCGCGCTCTACCACTGTGAACACCATGCATAGAGGTCAGCCATGAAAATTTTGTGCGAATTGTACGCTGCGGGGGCTTGCGGCTAGCACAGGATCGATAGAGAAGGGCGACCCACTTTCTCAACAGAAAAATTAAGAAAATAATACACAAAAACAAAAACATAATCTAACGATGTGTTGGCTGCCGCTGTAGTTTTCAGGTTTACTTCTTTCTCTCTTCGTTCAATCGGTCCTGCTTTGCTGTAAACTAGCTTTTAACTCGAATTCGCTCACTGCCCTCCTCGGTTAATCACCATTGCTTTGCTCTGCCAGTAAATGTTTCGAATATACTCGTTAGTCCCTTAAACTCGCTCTTCTCGATTTTGTATTTGAGTGATGTTTTGGTTGGAGTCAGTGCCCTCTGTAAACCTTTGTGCACGAGTCGTGAAGGTGGTATGTGTTGGTCTCCGTGAAAATTTGGCGAGTAAGGTGTCGATAGCATGGGTTTGGAAATAAGGATGAAGTTTGTGATCGTTCGATGTCTGCCACGTAAAGTGTTGAATTACTTGTGGCCGTTTCGTCTTATATACATTCGAGGATCCGGCCGGATACGCAAAGATATGTGAATCTTCAAAAAAGCAACTGGGTTTGTAGATATTTTGTTTTAGAAGAGTGTAACGTGGGGAAGCAGATTTGTTTCTCCTTCATGGAAAAGTTCAGGGAAAAGTCAAGCAAGTTTAGGGTTTCACACTTGACGCATTTTCTGAGTCCTAATCAAGGATTCAGGAAACGTGAAGCAAGTGTTAGGGTTTCTCACTAAACGATTTTATGAAGAATTAAATGTGCTTGAGGAACGTGATCCTTCTTCAGTTTGCAACATTCAGTTTCAGTATACACACAGTATTAACTTGAATTGATTTTTTTTCTTCCAGCAACAAATTTTGGAACGTATTTTTTTGTGATAAAACTTACACTGTAATAAATATTTCTGGTGTGACTTGACATGATAAATTAGGGTTAGTTTACCATACTTCTATTGCATTAAATTACTTTTTATTTCTCTACACTGATACTGAGCTATGCTGAACCTTCTGTATCTAAAAGAACCATATATGAAGGACATGAGAGTTAAACAGATGATGTTCAAACCTTTCCTTAATATTATAATACTTTTTCTTTCTTTTTTTCTTTATAATTTTTAGGGTTACTGGGTAAAAAATAAACATCTATGCTTTGAAACCTAATTTTAGTGTGTTAATCTGAAAAACTTATTGAAATACTGCAATAGTTATGGAATTGAAATTTCGATTTTATATATTCTGATATGCATGCTTAATGAATTTCACCCATATAGTTTATGTTTTATAAAGGTAAAACTTGATCAATATTAGAATTTAAAAAGACATTCAGAAAAAAGAACATAATGCCTTTATTACATAGTGCAATTATTTGGGTACTAGAATTGAAAATATTGTTTGTGCAATATCTTAAGCATGTCTTTCTATCAAACTGTGTGTCAATATATTTTTAATTTTTATAGACACATGTATGTGAACATGTGTGTAAGCATAAGATTGGATTTATGGCTGTGAATGAAAAATAACAATTACAGACAATGTCCAGATTTAAAGACATTAAAAATAAATAAATAAATATGATGTTATAAAATCCAGAAGTATCAATTTGAGGGCCACCAAATGGACAATGTGCAAAATTAACTTGCTTCAAACAACAATTAGAAGCTTTTACAACACTAAAAGCTGATCTAATGGAAAAGTACACAATCCCAAATGCCATACCTTCAAAGGTAATTGTCATGCCATTTCATCATATTTTTTTAAGAAATGACATATATTCTTGTCAAATAAGCACCATAAATTACAATAATTTCTAAATGTTTCTCTTCTTCTTTCAGGGAGTGGGTATAGCATATTACAAAGCTTTACTTGACGAAGTGCCACACAATTACTCCAGTATTCCAATTATTGTCCATTGCATTGTTGCACAAGTATCAGTGTATGATTGTTTCAGTGAAGATCTAGAGGCGCTGGAAATTGCTAAATTAAACAAACAAATGGTTGGAAAATTAGAAAACACCTTCCAAAAGCTCGGTCATTGTGCGCAGTCCATGCCTAAGCCATGTAATGCTGGATCAGGTTCAAAGTGCAAGTGCAATTTGCAGACTAAAAAAGAGGCAAATGAAACAAATCATTTGGTGATGGAAGAATTACCAAATAATACTCCACCTGATGCAGATTTAACATCACGATTAATCGGTCGTCAGGTTATTACAATTTCAACTCATTTTTGTTTGAAAATAATGAATCCATAATGTTGTATGGAAACTACAAGACATTTGAAATTATTGTTGAGGACCATTAAATGGCTTATCTTTTAAAAACTTGTAGTTCAATGTGACAAGGTTTCTAATTCCATTTTTTATATTTTTTATATTTTATATTTTTAAACTAATACTCATGGTGGCATGACTTAGATGTTGGAGTTCAAAGAATGTTTCATGAAAAATCAAGATAATGACAATTTTCTATGCATTGTCCATGAATTTGATAAGTTTGGAAGACTTGAAGCAATGGTTAAAAATCAATTGTTAATGTTTTGGGATTCAGTGGATGTTATTAAAGTTGAGAAGCATATGTTATCTTTACTTAATTATCCAGGTACTTAATAAGTTCAATATTTTGACTCAAAATTAGTCCAATAATGTGTAACATGATTATGTATCACATAGTAATACTGTGAATCACTTCAGTGTAAGATAAAAACTAAAGAAAACTTTAAAAAATTTAGGAAAGAGAATTTTTATTGTTTGATTTTGAAGGTAAAAATAGAGCATCCATGCCTCATTCTCCACTATTATCTGAAGAGAAACAATATGAATGTTTGAAGGCTTTGCAAATGTTTGCAAATGGAGGACCTGAAACATATGAAAAAGATGATTGTCTTTTGTACAAAGAATTGGATGATATATATGGTCCACCTGTGATTCAAGAAATTCCACAAAATCCGTTGTTTCAATTGAAACCAGTTAATTTTGCTATTGTTCAAAGGTTCAAAAAACTTGTGAGATTTTCTTTATACAACCAATAATATATATATATATATATATATATATGTATCTTAATGTTAATTATATAATATTTTTACTTCAAATATAAGCTTTTCAGCTCCTGGTGGATTGTAGTCATACCTTGCATTATATTACAATTCTTAATTACATTCTCTTCAGATATATATATTTTTGAAAATCAAACATGTTGTGTTATAAAAAATACAGAAGATGTTTTTGGAAACACTGTTGAGAAAACCCAATAGTCTTTATTATATGCCACCAATTTTGGAAGAACAAGTGCTTCCAAAGTATACATGTAAAAAAATGGATTCCATATCAAATGATTCCACAAAAACATTGTTTCAAGAAGAAAAGCATCTTGAGAAGAGTGATTGTACAATAGTTGAGAACAATGAGCTTTCAACTTCACAATTAGATTTCAACATCTCCTCCTTTTCAACTATATCACCATCATCAAAGCCTATTGACATGGCTTTGATATATCAAAAGATTCTTGAAAGAAATATGTTTGAATCATACCCAAATGATCTTTTGGGAGAAATCTATTGCAAAGCTAAAATAAGACTCCCCTATAGACTATTGAGGTATGGAGCAAAAAAATAAAAAGTAAAGATATTCATGTCAATGTTGGTATATTACCAATATAAAATGGAACATCCATAAGATTTATTGCTTATGATTCTATGTAATGTCATTGCAAGGTATATTAGTTTACAAATGTGTAACAAATACTTGATGTGTAAAATTCAGATATGATGATGAAGATGATTGTCTTCTTGAAGTTTTATATGCAGATGAAAGAGACCACATATGGAAAGGAACTATGGCATCTGAGGTAAAATAAAAAAAAAAAAATAATAAGGAATTGATTCTACTTTATATATATATATATATATATATATATATATTATCTATACAATATAAATTATTAATGTAAAATTGAACATGTGCAGATTGGATTGGATGGCATTGTTGCAAATAAAAACCATACATCATATGATATTGAACCACAAGATGCAACAATCTTTGAACAATTTAAATGTCATTTAACTGAAAATGAAGGTTTTGTTTGGACTGGTTTACCTTCAAAAACTGCCACTCAAATGGAACCTCAAACAACTGTTATTAAAGTATAAATTTTGAAATGTACCACTTTCATGAAAACTATGATATTGTGTATTTTTATTAATAGAAAACTATATTTTATTTCATTTTTAAATGCGGATATATGTGAATATTTATTAATTTATTTGTACAAATATTGTAACTATTACTTTTTTACATCTCTAATTTCAAACCATGTTTTCTCAAATGTAATGAATGGTTCATTTCTTTCAGGATAGCAACATGATATTGCTCCGAAGCTATGGTGAGAATGATAATTCTCAGTGTGCAATGGATAAAAATGTAATAGCAATTTTAAGAGATGGTATTGTGGTGTGTTTTTTTATAGCAAAAGATGGAACTATGACTATGCAAATCACAAATCCGGCAAGCGAAACTATTGAAATTAATTCAACTGGAGTAGTTTTGATGTACTCTTCAAAGCTTCATTCACAAGTCGAACCAAAAGAAGCCCAAGTAGGTACAAAGACACGAGACATTAATGTTTTTTCTTAAGCAATTCACATAAGGCTTTAGAAAGAATTTTAAAAAACAAAAAATTAAATAAATCATAAAGCCTCAAACTAGTTTCAAAATTTTCCAGATGTGAATCAATCCACACCACAAAAGCTAGCACAAGAGGTTTCTACAAGTGATGAAAAATGCGACAAAAGTTTTGCATATCAAAGTTATGTAGAGACTATAAAAGATGTACTTCTTTTGGAGAAAGGTGACGTGGAAGATTGGCGATGTGTCTTACCTTTGGGCACCGTTGTCTGTTATAAAAATAATAAAAATATCCAGGTTGTTACTATTCCACATTATTATATCAATTCATTTCTCAATAAACTTCAATATTTTCACAATTTTTTATTTCTAAATTTCTTCAAATTCATTTGTCAATGTATAAAAAGATTATGTGCCAAAATGGCAATGTAAGTGATTGGAGAGCAGACTTAGAAGAACCATGTTGGATCACGACCAACAATGAAGGTTGTAGGGTAATACAGGTGAGTTTTTTTGCTTCATCAAAGTATGTCTTTATCATGGATGTCTTCTCCTTCCTCATTTAAGAAAATTTCTAATAATAATAAATAGTATGATAAATTCCATTTGCTTAACTTCAAATTTTCAAGTAATTCTCATATGTTAGAGATTCAAATTATACTACCAGTTTTTTTTTTTTAATTTTAATTTTATTGATAGTTTCAATGATCACACTAAAATTACATCATTTTATTTTGAATGGTAGCAAGATCCTCCAATTGAAGGTGAATCAAACATGCTACGAAAACCAGAAATTTTCAGTGGTACAAAGTTCAAATATATACATCAAGAAAAAAACATATATACTGATATATATATATATATATATATATAGATAGTACACAAAATTTAAATGTTCATGTTTTGTATACATATATATATATATATATATATAAGAAAGGAAACCATTTGGTAAGCTATATGATTGTTGGGATTTTACAATGACATATTGTAATTTTTAATATTATGATTTTTTAAAATAATTAATAATTTAATTAACATCAATTAAGAATACTGTTTTGCAATTTCTAGTTTACTAGAATTCTGAATAAATGTTGGGAAATTGCAAACCTGCAAGGCATATTTAGAATCAAATTTGAATTTCAGATTAAGATATAGTTTCAAGAAATTTCATTAAAAAGTTTTGATAAAATTATTTAAATTATTTAATTTTAAAATGAAGAATTAAATTATTTTTCAAAAACAACTCAAGGACAGAAACCATTTTTTTATGTTTGAAGTAGATGAATATATTTATAAGAATTTGACAACTTTTTTAATTATTTACATTCAAGTCATTTTCACATGTATTGTAATCCCTACATCAAGTTTTAGTATATACAATTTCAAGTAGTGATAAAAAAAATATTTAGATTTTTCATCTTTAAGAAGTCAATATGAGAAATAGTTGATTTTGATTCCTTCAGATACCAAATCAAATGAACCAATCAAGCCAACTCTTTTCTACTTACCAAATCTAAAAGTATCACATTGTCACGATCCCAAAACGGGAAACAAGATCACAACAAGAGAAGATTTAGTAGTTGTTGTAACAAATGAAGAAAATAACTCCACTTTAGTCCAACATGCCGATGGTACACACATTTATAGTGAGGAATTGGAGTTTTTTCCCCCAAGTAATGAAGAAGACATCATTTCTTGCAAACCCACAAATGATGTTAGACCATTTTGTTGTAAATATGATGAATTTGGAAGAGATTATAATGGCCTCTATAAACCACGGGTTAATTTGAATGATGATATCCAAAACAATCCAAATAATTTTGCAACCAAGAGTAATAAAAAATGCAAAGAAACCTCAACAAGTAATGGGAAAAAAATTGTAGGAAAGACCATTGTGAAGGATTCATCTGAAGAAGAATATGTGACCAAACAACCCATTCAAGGTTTACTTGGAGAACCTCCTTCCAAACTAGGCATACAATTTAGCAAATTTGCCGAGGCTCAAAAAACACACTCTCAAACGTGGCCTCCCAAGGGATATGGTGAAACATCAAAAGAAGTCCCGAATTGGATGTGGCCTCTTCAGCCGTGCGGACATCCCGTAAACAAACTTAATGCACCTCCTTTTGAAGATAAATCGCCTCATTTGCAACCAGTCCCTAAAGATTCCAAACACTCAGTTGTTTGGCATGTGCACAAAGATGGCCTTGCTAAAGTACATGGAAAAGTAAACAATTTTAATTTTTTCAATTTTTTTTTGTTGTTGAATTTCTTTTTACATTGGTAATAATGACTAAGTTGTTAATGTTTATTTATGCATGATTAAATTAAAAATATGTGATTTTACAATGTACTTATCAAAATGAAATGGATCATTTTAATATAATTTTTTTTTGGATTTGGTAGAATTTGTCTACATGTAAATGATTTCACAATTGGAAGAAAATCAAGAGATAGGATTTGAAACCTATTGCAATACCAACATTAAAAATATTGTTATTGCAAAATTTATTTAATGAATATGATGGAAATAAAATCAGGTTGGAGCTGGTACATGTGTTGAATTTGAAGGTGGGGATGGACATTATGTGGCAACATGGTCTGCCATCGAGTCTTCTCAATTAACACTCGCAATGCCCGGAGGAGCAACTTTTAATGCTACGGGTACTAAGGTGACATATAATCCTTCTACCAAGTTCCAAAAAAGTGATGATAAATTACAAACTGAAGATTCAACTCAAGCCAAACAATCCATCACATCCACAAATACTCATTCCATGAAAATTTTAAGCAACGATGATAATCACAAAAACAATTCTTCAATAATTACTCATGGTAGCTACATCTTTGATATGGTAAATAAGTTCTTTTTCCTTCTTTTTTTTTACTTTATTAAGTATGATGTATATTTTTTTATTTTATTTTATTTTATTTTTTAAACATATGATTTGATGATTCTTAAAAATTGTGAGTTTTATCATCAATCTTATAGGTTGAAAGCACCTTAGTATTCACAAATGATGTTGGTGATGGATTTAAAATTCTTGGAAGAGGTTGTGATTTTGAATCCATTGTACATGGAAAACTAGAAAGTCAAGCACTAAAAGATGCTAAAAAATGGCAAGATATGATGATTGAAATTGCTAAAGTTCAAAATGAAGATGAAAAAAGTAATCTAAAATCAACAACTCAGTTTGATACAAATGGTTTTGTTGATGACATAGCAATGCAAAATAATTTTACAAAAAGTAGGAAACATGTGAAACATTTGTTATTGAAATCTTAAATGTACTCGTGCATATATTTCTATTAATTATATATATATATATATATATATATATATATAAATATATATAAATATATATATATTAGAAAATATATCTATTTAAATATATAAATAATTTATCTAAATATATATTACTAAAATAAAAATAAAATAAAAAATAATGCAGACATCAATAATATTGAACCACATCTAACTAATATACTTTCAAGGGAAACAACAAGTTCTTTGGATGGTGATCCACAAATAACAAAAAACTACAAAATAGCGACAAAATCATTACTTCAAAAACCATTTGATCCCTTTGATGGATATGATTTAAAACCTATTGGAACATGGAAGCCAATCTCATCACCATCACCAACCCCTTCATTCTCTTCTCTTGAATCTACTACACCAATTTTTTTGGGCCCTTATCCTCGCCTCTTCATTATCTACAATGGAGGATATGGCTATGAGATATTAGCCAAGGAGAAATATCAATCATATAGAAATGCTAAAGTTCATAATAAACATTGTAATATAAGTGATGATGGTTGCATTGTTACTAATGAAGCTTGCACCTTGCACACTTTTGTGACATCCATCAACACAAATAGCACATGTTTTGGTGAACTCCCAAAAGGTGGTACAAAAATCAAATCAAATTTGGCAACACCATTGGTTTCTACACAAGGGATCTCTCAATTTGTGAAGAGGTTTCAAGCCAAACAACAAAACAATAAAGTAAAGATACTAACAAATTGTAATTGGCTTCAACTTGGATTTGAGTTGCCAAGTTCTTCTCATGTAGTCAATTTGGTGCTTCCACAACTTACAAATGATCCTATCAACTCAAATTTTGTATATCGTCAAATTTTGGAGGCTTTGGTGATTTCTTCCGACATGCAAACAAATATTGGAAAAATACTAGATGCTTACAATGAGTGGAAATTGAGAAATATAGATTTCTCTAAATGTGATGTAACAACAAAGCCAAGTTTTTCATGTAGCATTGAGAATAGTAATTCCAACATGCATTTTAAGGAAAATGTATGTGCACCAAAATTTATATTTGTCATAAAGTGCTAGAAATTGATGCCTTATATCTTTTATTGCTATTTTCAACTACATCATATTGATAACTTTGAAAGAAACTTTACTTTGATCCAAAGCATCCCTAATATGCAAATTAGAAGTATCTTTGAAAGTTTGATAATTGCATCAAAATGGATCATAAAAGTGCAAATTTTGCCAATTGTATTTTAGGATTCCGTAAGACGAGGAATTCTCAAAGCTCAACATCTACAAAATATGGAAAAACAAGATGCAAGAAGAGTAATATATAGTAAAAAGTATGAGTTGGATGAAAAGATTGCAGAGGCATATAGACTTATAGATGTAGTACAATCTGATATGGATGAAGATTGGAGAATCTATGTGGAAAGTAAGCATGGAGGTTTGCAATGTTTGCACAAGCCTACCAATTTGTTCCAAACTGAGCCACCTTTTCATCCACTTTCTACAGCAAGGTTCCTTTTCTTCCATGCTGAAGAAGGATTGAGATACCTTTTCCTTTGCCAGGTAAACTTCTTTTTTTTTTCTTTTTTTTTTTTTCATCCACTATAGTTAAAACGATTTTATTGTTCATTCAGTACACGGAGCAAACTTTTTTTATGAATTGAAAAAACGTGAAAATGTGTCAAATAACTTATTTTTCATTAAAAATTTGTGAATATTTAAAAATAACTTCGCTGGGTTATTCTTGCTGTTGTAAGTATTAAAATAATTTATCTGAAGTAAATGCTTATGGAATGCAGCAAAAAGCCAATACAGCAAAGAAATGGTCGCTACAAACAATGCCTCCTTCTCCCAAAAGTTCAATATGCAGCAATTTATACCATCAGGAGCAAAAAAAAGATGAAGAAACTGAACAAATAGAAAAGTTTTCAGAATTGATAAAGAAAGTAGAGGTATGTTTTACATAAGAAATCCTCTATGTTGTATCTTTTAGTGAAGTGGGGTATTACCATAAAATCATTCTATTCTACTTTTATTTCATGCATCAGATTTCTGTTATAACTTTGCAATTGAAATGAAGTAGATGTGAATGAAGAGCAAGCATTAAAAATATGAAATTGATAGTCATTTTCCACAAAATATAACTGGTAAGAATTTATTCAGGAACTTTCAAATGAAGTATTAGAATCAGAAGAAGATGCTAAAAGAAAATTGATTGAGGGTGAAGTTTTTTGTAAGCAAGTGTTCTCTGACATTGTAATATTCTCACTTGATGCTGAGTTTTCATTATTATTTTTTTATTTATGTGCTTTATTTTATGATCAGTTAATGTATTATATTGTGGTATATTGAAATAATGATTTGAATGAAATAATTACGCACAAACTAACTTCTTCATTGATTTTCTTTTTCAAAAAATTGCAAAAGCTTGTGCCAAAAGATCCTTTCCGTGACTTTTCTGCTGAGCCATCCAGTGTGGAAAAAGAAGAGATTTGTGTATTTGATTACCCACCAACTCAGGTGACTAAGTATCTTAGTATATAAAAGAAAATAAAAAAATAAAAAAATTTCTGATTATATATCTTGTTTAATAGTTATCATAAATATTTTCTGTATTTGAATAAGTTTAATTTATGGTATCTATAGATTATGTTCTAAATCTTTTACAAGTTAAATCAATGTTTTTCTCCATCTCCATCAATGACAAGGTCTTGCATATAATTCCTTTGCAAACGCTGAAGTTTATGAAATTGTGGACTTTCACTTTCAATCTCTATGTTGAATGGATTTATCCATTGTCCATATTTTGTCAACTCCTTGAAAAATTACAAAACACTAACAATCCTTTCAACAAAACTATCTATTCATTGAATGCAGGAAGAAAGACCTCAGCCACGACCACATGTAATTTTCTGGATTTAAAAAAATTAAATTAAATTAAATTGGTCACTTTTAACTTTCCATTTCTACTTTTATATTAATTTTAAGATTATCATTTTCAATTAGTAAATATTTGAGTTTGTCAATGGGTCATGGATGGTATTGCTAATACTCATGGAAACCACAAAATAGAATAGTGAGAATGATAACGAGGGATACTAAATAGTGAATATTAGAGGGAAATGGGTTAGATAAATAAATAAATAAAATGAAAAGAGGAATGTTTTCCAATAGTCTATTAGTGGGCTGGGTCCCAATATATGCTTCCTTTGAAATTTTGTACAACTTCTTAGAATTGAGGATACAAAAGCAGCCAATGCATGACTCTAATACTAAACTCTTTTTAAACATATTGTAATCGTTTGCTGAATTTTAACACAAGATAGATAAATAAATAAAAATCCCCTAATATTCAATCAAAATTTATAGTTATATTATGTCATAACATACTCACTTTGTACATATCATTATTCAAATATAGTTTTGTTTGAGACAATTCCTTAAATGCCCCCCTAACTTGGGTGATGAATTTCTAATGGGGGTGTAGCAAATGTATGAGTTTACACCAACACCACCTCATATGGAACCTGCTCCACCTCCTCGACCACCGCCACCACCACCGCCACCTCCATTGCCTCCACCACCACTACGTCCACACCACTCCAACTCGGTGCATAATTCTCAATTCACTTTGTAGTTTTCTTCTCAATATTCTTATTATAAATATCATTATTTGAAAGAGGAAAAGTATTAACCTTTGTGCAAAGTTCCATCAAGCAAGTTTGGGATTTCACTACAAAAACTTGAATAGCCAATGTTTCATTGTAAAACTTAAGGTAAAGTGAAGCTATATGTTGGTCTCTATCTCATGAGCTTCACACTCTTTCTCATTAAATTTATTCATTTATTTATTGATGTAATATGTTTTATTTGATTTTTGATTTGGTGCAATTGTATGTATAGCCAATTGTGCCTGTGGCACCAGCTCCTCCACCACAGCCACCAAACATGGCCCAGACCAACAGCAAAGTAGCCATGCGGGAAGCATGGCATGCCCAACGATTAGTATGCCTCTATTTTTAATTTAATTTTTTTTTTTGTTAAGTGATTTTTGTCAAATGATACAACATTGTTGAAACATTACTTGTCATAGAAATTGAATGCAAAGGCAATCCTCTGGCATTTGTTACAATATGTGTTACTTTGAACAGGCTAAGAAAGGGTTGAGAACAATGTCACTTGGTTATGATTGGAGCATTCCACAAGAAGTGGACAAGAGAATTGAAACATACATGAAAGCAAAAGCATTTAAGAGCGCGTAAGTATTTTTGAGCCTGTTGGATTGGACTATATATATTTATATTTATATATGTTTTCCCGTTATGTTATTTTTCTTGCTGGGGTGTGTTAGTTTGTTTTAAGTTGGAGTACCTCATCTATTTGAGAAAGTTGTTTGAATTTGGCTACAAAAAGAAACATGTTGAGTTGAATTCATATACAAACAGTAAGCCATTAACTTTGTATGTAACTTAAAATAGTGTCATAGCAATTCAGTGTGCAAACTGAAATGTACTTACAGCAGCCATGAAATAAAACAATTTTTTTGTTTGTTAGTTTTGTTTTCCCTGGTCTAAATTATTTAACTTCAAACTTGACACATAAAAAATTATTCACACAAAAACACTGCAGATGATTCTCACAAAATGTTAATAATTTTAGAACAATGAATTTAACCACAAAAATGGGTACTTTTCATATCGTAACTTCATTAAAAGCACAACAAACTGTGACAAGGTGGGTTTTGGAATTAAATTCCGTGGTAGCAAAAGCATTTTCAAGGAAATTTTAGCTTTTTCATTCAAAACTGATAATCATTTTTTAAGGTCTTATTCGCTCAAAATTCTTTTTATCAATCCCAATTTCTATGAATACAATTGGTAATTTTTGTTCACTAGTTAAGAGATGATATAGATTTCTTTTAGTCAATTTTCAATGCAATGAATTTCACAAAAAAGTTGATACACAGCTTTAGAGAAGCTGAGTGGAAAAGCAACGAACTCTACATCACCAAAGAGGCACACAACAATCTGCCAATGAGACAAGAAATTAATGAGCGTATGAAACTTGCCCATGAGTCTTTACCAGTTCAGTGGACAAACAGACAATTTCGTGTATTTCCTTCAATTTTAGACTTCCATGATGTTCAACTCGGTGCAATAGCAATGAAGGTCAATTACAATATTTCTGTTATTCATATGTATGTATATAGATATATACAGTTTGTGTGTTTGTAATGATATTTATTAAGTTTTAATTAGTCGAAATCATTTCAATACTTTATAGTAGTAACAATTATTGTGAGTATTTTGAGGCATGAACCTGTGAACACTAAAAATAACAATAACAATAATAGTACTAATTGTTTTCAACAAAAATCTATTTGTTTGGACAAGTCCTTTTAGAAAAAGAAAAAGAAAAAAAAAAAAAAAAAAAAAAAAAGGGATAAAAATTTCTATGCACTTAAAATTTTGTAAAAATAATATTACAATAGAAAAATTTGATGATGGAAAATTTTGGAATTGTTCAACAGGTTTTGATTGTTCAAAATTATCATGGACCCCGAAGTGGGAGAATATTCATTCACAAGGAAGATAAATTGTCAGTTAAATTTCACTATTGTCATGGTCCAGTAAGTAACTACTATTTATGATGATTTATAACTTCTTTTACGTATTCTCAACTTCAACATTTAAAATAAGAAAGAAAAGATACCAATAATCTCCCTCACTTTGTAATCTATATATATATATATATATATATATATTTCTACATACAAAGTAGCATATGTATATATTTATACACACACACACACACATACATACATACATACAAAGTGGCATAAATATACAATATCAAATGAAATAATAATTATACCATTCCAAGTTAATTTGTATGCAAATTAAGTACTCACAAAGGTGTTGTTCTTTGCAGATTGCACCGGGATTGTATTTTGTGATTCGTGTATATTTCAGAGCATCTGAGTTGGGTGTTCATTTTAGCCAGGTCCTTCAATACTTATCCTAATAATGCTCAAATCCTGGTTTCAAAATCTGTATGAATTAAGTTTACATGTGATGATGCTTTCTAAACTTTGCAAATTTATTATAGAAAAAAATGATATTATCAATGTGAAAGATAATTCCCTTACTGAATTCATTACTGAAACCTCCCAACTCTTGTTGTTGAGAGGTAAAACAACGCAGGCTGAAATAGCCACTGAGTTTGAAATTCACTCTGTCACAATCAAAGCTATTGTGAGAAGTGATAAAGTGTTGAATAATCTGGATGACCAAGCGGAAGAGGTTGTGCGAAATGCGTGTTTTGCATCAATCAATCCGTGGGGCAAATTCATAATATGTAGGAAATGCCATGATCATCATGTTGCATGGTGGTCTAAGGCTTGGGGTTTGTATGAATGCACGGCTTGTGAAAACTTTCATCTTCCTCAAGAATAACTTAATGGGTTTTCTATCAAATTATTTTGTATACACTTGCACAATTTTTGTGAATTATTAGGGCAATTTTAAGTGCATAGAAATTACATTGTATGGGACTCTTGTGGAGACCATTTAGGGCAATTATATACCAACCAGGCCGCTATGTCCAAGATCTGTATAAATTATTATCACAAACTATAAAGAGCAAGCCAGAATTCGAAAGTAGTTAGGGAGGTGCAAGATTAGGCCTACAAAGTATTAGAAATGATACTAGATATAGAGACATTAAATTTACTAAAAGACCCATTAACGCTCTAAGAAACAATTTGTGCACTTTCAATACTAGCTAAATTTAAGTATATGGACCCAGATGTAGTGATAGAGTTCTATCTCACTTTTTGAGACATAATTGGCTAACAATACATAGAAATGATTAATACTAGCCTTATTTTAGGGTTCCTCCTTCCTTGAGTTACTACTAGTACAATAACCCTTCTTCATAAAGGTGGAGATTGTTGCTTCTTAACCAATTGGAAGTCCATTACACTTCTGAACTTAGACTACAAAATATATGCCATGACATTGCACCTATCTTTATGATCAATACTTATAAATATTATTAGCATAGATCAATTGATATTCTTATTCATGGAATTCATATGGACAATTTTTTACTTACCTAAGAAACCATGGAATAGGCTGAATATTTAGATCAACCTCTATTATTTCTCAAATTAGATTTTTCAAAGGTATATGATATGATAGAATATTATTTTTTATTCACAATTATGATAGTACTAGGCTTCTCAAAAGAATTCATAGACATGGTCAATTTTCTTTTAGGAAATGCTTCAACTTGTATAAAGGTAAATGGAACATTATCAAAATATTTTCCAATTATAAGAGGGATGAGACAAGGATGTCCATTGGTTCTTTATTTATTCTTAATTGTAGGAGAAGCAATAAATACCATGATAACAAAGAACATTGCAAGTGGGACTATACAAAGCATCTAACTTCTCATCATAGGACATTAATAAGTATTAACTCAATATGCACATGACACATCCTTTATCTTATTAGAAAAAGAAGATTTAATAAGGACTGTAACCTATATTATTGAAATTTTTACTTGGCATATGGATTAATGTTGAAGTAATAGAAATCAAGTAGCTATTAGAAGTGCAAACAAGATCTCAACCATCTAACATAGATAGCACAACTTGGAATAGTATAGGTGGACAAAAAAGAAGTATATACAAAAAAGAAGTGAACATACGCAAAAAAAATTAGTCTATTGGTATATAACCAAAACTTATGCAATTGAAAGAGATATAGTTGCGAACAATGTGTTGTTATCTTCCATATTTTACTTCTTATTAATATGGAAAGGCACTAAATAGAAGATCATAAAAGTCAAAGCAGCTCTAAAGAACTATCTCTCAACATAATTGTTCCAAAGAGCATGCACAATGATCGAATGGATACAATATCTTTTTGCTACATGTGGCATAATATTTACAATTCATACCTCTCAATCCAGGTGAGATATAGGTAGATATTGTCTATGCCAACTGTCTTATGAAAGCTTAGCCATTGTGCCTTCCTTGTTTTTTGAGTATCTCTTAGTAACAATTAAGTGGGCCAATTGGAAAGCAACTCAAAGACATGTGCAGATCGGTATACATCTTTTGCTACATGTGGCATCCCCAGATCCCAGGACAGCGATGTTGGGTTTGATGCGGGGAACGCTTGCGTGCCATCCCGTCCCGTCCCATCCCAAGATGCTTTGGGTTTGTAACCGGAATCGATGCGACCCGACAACCAACAAAACTAAGCTAAACAAACCAGGGGAAACCAGGACACAACACAAACACGAAAAAAAAAGAAAAAAACAAGAAAACAATCGCTTTCGCTTCGTCGCCACAGTAGTGGACACATGCTCACTCGGGGACACGACGGCTTCCAGCGCCCGTAGAAAAACAGGACGACTCGCGTGAAAGGGACAAGTAGTGCTGAGAACAGGAAGCCAGCGTTTCATGGGGGGAAGGAAAGAAACAATACAATGGGGTATCCACAAGAGTCCCATACAATACCCATGATTGCACCGCCACACACGTGATCCTGGCTATACCGACATGAACTATCCACACCTACGCTCCGCTGCCCAACGCCGTCCCGGGTCCGCATTGCCCACCGCCCAGCCTTCCTGCTGCTTCCCGCCTGCAACCATCCGCTCATTTGGGGAACGTGTAACGCCCGCAGCGGAAGCCACCCAGATCCGTGCGACCACACTTCTTGGGCAGCCGCAACCCGTTGTTCACCATCTGGGCGGGGAAGGAGCTGGACCTCAGCTGAGCGCACATGCAATTCTTGTTCGCCCTGCGGACCACCATGCAGCACTGCGCGCTGGGCGGCGGTGGCCGAGCTCCCTGAATGGCTCGCAGGCACGGGTACAGCGCGTTGGGGTCGCACACCCCGGCAGCGCTGGATTCGGCCACCATCGCCATCACCACCAGCAAACAAACGCTTACAGCTGCGAAACGCCACTTCGATCCTGCCACTGCCACTGCCATTGCCATTGCCGCTGCCGGTCCTGATGCGTTTACTGGGGGGCTCAACTCGGCTTCGAGATCCTGCTGCTCCTGGACTCGGCTCACCACCACGTTGCTGCTTGCTGAGCGGTCAGCCACCAAGCGGAGCTGAGCTGATCTGAGCTGTGCTAAGGGGCTCACGGCTCACGGCTCACGGCTGAGGGCTGCGCTGAACCGAGAGGCGATCTGAAGATGGTTTGGACCAGGAACAATGCCGCCTTTTTCTAGCCTTGGCCACGCACAAGCAGGTCGCATGGCCCATCGCCACACTGCGTCAACTTCACTCTGACGGGTCGCTGCACCTCACCGAACTGCATTTGAGGCTCTGACAGGTGCGCGCGCGAAACCCTTTAGTAACGAAAATCGCTGTCGAATGCGCGGCTATCTGGGGGCTGGGCCTCGAGCAGTTGGGGGCGTTGACTTCCGGGCGCCGAGTGTCAGATATTCATTGTCACCAAACGTGGAGGCCTTGGATTGGTTTCCGCGAAATGGGCCTCGAGCAGTTGGGGGCGTTGACTCCCAGGCGCTAAAAAGTTATTAGAACTTGTTTTGATAATTTGGTCATAAACCAAGTTTAGTTTTATAACTTTATTATTTGATATATTAAAATATTTTTTGGGCACATGAATTATTTGTGAATATTTTAAGAAATACAAGTTTAATTAAAAAGCTATTCATTGTGTTTTTTTATAGAAAAGTTATTTACTCTATTTATTAAATAGGAAATCATATATAGATATGTATTTATTATATTTGTTTATAGATCTATTTATTTCATTAAAAAATATTTTATTATTTTTATGTATATATGTAATATCTGGTTAATTATATCTTTACTCTCTACCTATTTTATTTGTAACGTATTTATTCTCAAGACTCTTATTTTACTTTTCACATCACATAAGACTATGGCCATCTTAATATGTCTTATTCTCTAAATAATCATCGTCAATGTGTCTTTCTTATGTTATATTTTAAAGTCACACATAAGATTTAAAACCAAATTAAAATATTAGTATGAAGACTAACAAAGCAAGTCCTAGTCTTTGTTTTTTTTTTTTCCATTTATATATTAAGTCTATTATAGCTTAATAAACCATGACATCCTTATAATTTTTCTACATTTCTATAGTCTAGTAGTTGTTTTTCAACGTCTAAATTTGTAAACTTTTTAGTCTCCATGTCTTTTAGACTTATGAAATTTTTGTTTAGTTTTTTACTTCTACATTTTTTTGACTTTTAATCTTCTTGACTTCTACTTTTCTTGAATTTTTTTTTGTCTCCTTGAATTTCACATTATTTGACTTTTATGTTACTTTAATTGTTAGATTTATTGTTATCTATCTCTTTTTGCTATTGCAGTTATCAACTCTTGTCTTCATGGCAATTTATATTATTGTAGACTTATCCATTCTAGATTAGTCCATGCATAGTCCATGCATAGCCCACCTTAACTTATCATGTCTGTTTTGCTGTGGCAGTTATTGACTTTTGTACCTGTGCCAATATGTGTTATTGTGATTTTTTCTATTTAAGTTTAGTCCATGCATAGCCATGTGCAACACACATCTTTACATTAAAAGTTCACCTCAATTGCTAAAGAAGATTTCTCAAATTAAAATTAATTACAATTTTACATATCACATATAATATTTCAAATATAATTGTACTAAAAATGATAAAAGATAAAAAAAAATAGTTGTTAATTATAATATCTATTTTCTTGTTTATAATTAATAATGCTCAAATATATCCACATGTAAACAAATCAATACATATATTTTATAAAATATAATTTATTTATAAATCAATTTTATATTTAAATTAAAAACTAAATCTTCTATCTTAAAAATTCTAAAATACTTGAATATAGTGAAAACTACAATTTAAAAAATATCTATGATAGTTTGTGTATATTTAGTATATTAAAAATACCTCCATTGAATCATTAATTTAAAATTAAGCCTCAACAAATATTATTTTTTATACAATTTTTATTTCATGATTTTCATAAGGATTAGAAAAAAATTATTTTTTAAACTATTAATATTTATTAATAAAAGCTCTTAATTAAAAAATATCATAGAATATTCAATTTTTTTCTTATTACTCAAATTTAAATATAAATTTGTAAAAAATTAATTTAAAAAATCTTTAAAAATCTTTAAAAATCTTTTATATTAAATTATTTGATATTTTATTTATAGTCAATAATAAAGAATAAGACTTAATTAATTTATATTATGAGACATTTGTTTTCTTTAGAGATTTTTCGATTCAAAAAACTTTTACAAGATCTAACATGATCATACTAAAGTTTGTTACTCTCAATTTAGATAGATGTATATTTATTATTTATATACATATAATACATGTGTTGGTTATTGTTTGTTCAGATTCAAAAGTAAGATTATATGAAGGATTTTTCCTACTCAAGCTAGACAAATAAATAGAAAGCTTGTGAAACATAATGTTAGAGACATCCATAATGAATTGAAGTTTTCTAATTCTACCAACTACAATCGTGTCGCCATAAGTGAGCAAATCCTAACAATGCTTGATGTCACGGACATACGCATGTAAGCCAATAATTACATGTATAAATAGGTAGAAGTAAGTAAAAGTAGATAAAAGTAAATTAATTCTATAATATTTGCTATGGAAGCTTTCTAGAAGCTTCATAGATGCTGCTTTGACTTTATAGGTGTCTTTAATTGACTTTTTGGATTAGAAACATAGTCAACAAGTTGGCCATGTGCCACACATGTTGTTAGCTTGAAGACTAAGCTAATTATGTAGCCCACACATAGAAAAACTTGCCTTATAAGTCAAAGCATGTGTCCTACAAAGTCAACACATATTCGAGGTCCTATAGAATATCGCCACATAGCCCCTAGTTAGATAGTATATATAGAAACAAGAGTGAAGCCCTCTTCATTCTTGCCAATTTCTTTCTTGCTTCTAGTCTAGTTGCAAGGGTCTCTAGTTTTCTTGTCTTTTGGCAATAGCCATTCCAATTTCTTTCTTAATATACATATTGAATTATTTCTATTTTGTCATCTTTCTTTGAGAGAAGTCTCACTTATTTATTTATCTTTATCAAGTTCTTGTCTTTGATACCTGATTCTTCTCCTCCAAATTAACTTCTCTAATGCTGCATGTCTTCTTGCCACTCTCAACTACTTAAGTCACCACTTCTCCATAGAAAACATCAAGTATAGTGCTACCATCAAACTTCTAGATCATGCACAAGAACTGCATTGGAAAAACAATTCAATGAGGTTCAATAAGACTTAGCAAACATAGGTTTTAAATAGTGTCCTAAACAACATAAGTTTGAATCATAATTTTCAAAAGTTATGCTATAATAATGGTGAATTTTTAAGATGTAGCAAATATAGCTTTTGAAAATTATGATTCAAAATTACACTAAAAAATTTATATTTTTAATGAAATTCATATTACTCAAGTAATTATTAGAGTAAATATATATGTCTATGACATTAATTTCTTTTTAAAAGATGAGTTTGACAAAGAGCAGTGATCACATGTTGATGATATCTAAGATGTAAAGAATTGTA